AAAAAAAAAAAAAAAAGGACCAGGTTTGCTGGTCTGAGAGAACCTGATGGAGCCCCTGAGACTATGGTCCCTAGCTACCCTGGAATTGAATCCACTCCCGTGGCTTCTAGCCAAACAAAAGACAGGCATATGAGTTGAACATTTACATTAGGTAGATACACTCCTTGGAGAGAACAACCATGGGCGAATAGAAGGGCTGTATAAGCACAGGGAGAGAGCTCAGGGGACAGGAGTGCATAGGAGGGAAGGACACTGGAAGAGGTAACTATAGGGAGAAAGAGGGAAGAGAATTGTTACATCGTGATTTGCAGTGAATGTCATGAGACAAATTGTATGTAAGCTGCTGTATGGAAAATGAATTTGCTATATAACCATCATCCAAATCACAATAAAAATCCAAAAATAAATTAAGAGCCTTGTTGTGAATACAGTGGTAAAATTAAAATTAGAAAAATTAGAACCTAAAAGAAAATCCTTAAGAATTAAATGGCTAAACTATATGTGTGTATATGTGTTCTTTGAGTCATTCAACTTCCTTAAAGTCCATCAATAGTGGGTTATGCTTTTGTATTGTTTTGTATGAGGATTTAATAAACTTTTATTAATAAATATTCATAAACAGATACAAATAAGCTCTAACTGATCTCTCTACTATCTTTTTTTTGCCTTCAGTCTATTCAACACTGCAGCCAAAGTGATCCATTAAATCCAAGCCAGATGGTATCTTTTCCTCTGCTCAAAACCCTCGAATGACTTTTGATCTCAGAGTAAAAGCCAAGTCCTTATTCCACAATTCCCACCTTTTTTTTTTACTTCACTTCCTTCTACTCTCCTGGTTCATTCTGCTCCTATGATGGTGGCTTTGGACATGTATAGTTCCCTCCTCTCCACACCCCCAGCCTTTGTCTTTGTTCTTTTTCCCTCTACCAACTCTTAAGAGCTCTGGTGGTGTAGTGCCTAAGGGACTTGACTGCTAACCAGAAGGCTGGTGGTTCAAGCCCACCAGCCACTCCTCGGAAGATTGGTTGTGATACTGCCTCAGAAACCCAAGAAGGGGTTACTATGAGTCGGATCCCACTCAACTGCAGTGACTTTGGTTTTTTGTGATTTTTTTTGGTACTAACTCTTAAGTTTTCAACTCCACCCAAATGACATTTTCTCTTTGAGGCTTCCTGTTCAAATCTATCTAAAACTGCACCAACCTCCAACTTTCCCTTATCCTGCTTCCTATTTAGATTTATTTAGTTTTAGTACTGACTACCATCTAACTTTTATCTTGCATACTGTCTGTCTCCTCCCTCCATTCCAACCCAGAACTTAAGTTCCATGTTGTTGTTGTTATGTGCCGTGGAGTCAGCCCGAACTCATAGCAACCCCTCCTTGGGTTTCCGAGGCAGTATCACTACGGAAGTAGGATTGCCCAACCTTCCTTCCGAGGAGTGGCTGGTGGGTTTGAACTGCCAGCCTTCTGGTTAGCAGTCAAGTGCCTTAGGCACTATGCTACCAGAGCATTTTCATTTAGCAGGTGATTAACAAATACCAACTGCATTTACCTAGGTATGGTGGACTCCATAATAAAAACGCACGCAAAGAGAAGGGCTTTTTCAAATCTCTAACTACACTACTGCCATAATGATAGCACCTTCTATTTGTTGAGCACTTATTTGGAGGCAGTTAGTATGCAGATACTTTTAATTCTTCCAAGAGTTCTGTAAGGTAGCATTAATATTAAGGTGTGTCCAAGGCCAAACAGCTAGCAAATGGCTAAGGAGACATACAAACATAGATCACACTACAAATTCCAATCTTGGTACCACTGGGATCCTCAAGCTTCTCTGGCTTTGATGCTGGATCCTGCAAGATCGTGCCCTCTTAAGATCAGCGCTCACCTAGCGTCTTCACCTCCACCCCTTCCCTCCGACTTGAACAAGGAGATTCCGGCGGGGCTTGCTTTTCTGACCGCATCGGTCCGCTCTTTGGCTGCTCTGAGGGCTCTCTTTGACTCTTTCCTCTCTCACCCGCCAGGCACCCTGAGGTCTCGCAGGCCCAGTTCCCAACAGCCATTCTCCTGTACTTACCTCGGAGCACCGCCTTCCTTCATCGCCGCCATTCTGAATTCCTGGCTTTAGGCTTCAGACCGTCTGGACTTCCTTCCGCAACCTACCCTTAGAAGTACCGAGAGACCAGAAGGTGCTTCCCGACAAAAGCATGCACTCAACTCTTTCACATACCAGCCACATCAGGTCTTCATACCTAGCCGCCGACTTTCAAATTTAACGGTCCCGCGCGGACGACGTGGCTACGTCCTTCCGCTCACTCCGTGCTTGCGCCTCTCGCCCAAGGCATTCTAGGACTTGTAGTTTATTCCGGACTCGATCAACGCTGTCCCGGTGCCTAACGGGAGTTGTAGCTTCTAGGGGTGGCTGGCTGCCTAGATGCCGCAGGCATTAAACCCAAAAAAACCAAACTCACTGCTGTGGAGTGTGAATCGACTCATGGCGACCTCTCCTTGGGTTTCCCAGGCAGTATCACTACAAAAGTAGATTGCCCAATTTTCCTTCCGAGGAGTGGCTGAAAGTGGGTTTGAAACGCCAGCCTTCTGGTTAGCAGTCAAATGCCGTTGGGTGATATAAATTTTCTGCAAGTGCTCTCTGTGTCCTGGCTCTAGCGCAAAGATCTGAGACAGAGAGACGCTTTAAACCCTAGAATTTCTTTGATGTTTTGAGTATAGGGTGATGTCTTTGGCTGACCTTTTTTCTAGCTTGACATTTCCCTGGGATGCTTGGCCAGGCTTCAAACATACCCTGCTATCTGTCCTGAAGTCTCTGCATGACCAGGGTACTCAGGCCACTCTGACACAGCTCTTCCCTGTCCAGCCCTTGAATTCTTGAAAAGCTGGATGCAAGTTCTGATTGTACCAAATGTGAAGTCTTAGGCAAACCACCCAACATCCCTGACCCTCAGTTTTCCTCATCTATAAAGTAGTTGATGATATTGTCTTGCTTTCCTTCAAGAGACCAACCTCGACTGACACTGTACTCTTAATCCCAATTCTCATTTCCAGGGGGAAGGAACTGAGTTTCCAGAGAAGCAAAAGTCCTGTATACAAACTCATGAACATGGGAGTCATCCTCTATGACCACGGAAATGGTCAGTCAGTTCCCAACAGGGGGGAACTTGGAGTAGGTGTCCACTACTTCCTGACTCTTGGTTTCCAACCTTCTCTGTCTTTGTTCATACTGTGTAAGCTCCAACTTCCTCTGTATCATCAGGACTATGGATTGCCAGCGACTAGAAAACCAACTTAAGCTGGCTTACTCTGAAAAGGGAATTTACTGAATCTTATAAATAAAAGGCTTTAAGTGATGCTTAACCCCGGACTCATGTAGGATCATCAGTACTGGGCCTCTTTCCATTTCTCACCTTCTGCTCTACTTCATGTTGGTTTATTGTCATTCTCCATGGGTAACAGAGTCAGGTCTTATCTTCAAAAATTCAACCTCAGACTCAGGAGACACCCTGATGAGTTCCCTCCTCCTTCCCAAAACAATCACAAAGGCTGATGGACACAGTAGGACTCTGATTGTCCAGGTCCAAATTATGTGTTTCATCTTGGGGATGAGAAAGGGGAACAGGTAGTTCACCATAAGGAATTCTGATTATTCTTTCCTTCCAAAATAAGGAAACCCTGCTGGCTTGTGACGGATGTAGTGTGTGAGATTCTCTCTGGCTCCTATTTTCTCTTACCTTATAATACTTGACCTAGTACTTAATTTCCTTTCTTTCAGAGTGTCCTGTTCACATCTACAAGTTCTCTATTTTTCAATTTTGACACTCCCTATAAACCATCTTGGAAGTGTAGTATTTACTCTTTTGATCTCAGTCTTTCGTATAGCCTAATCAGTTGCTGCCCTGCCCCATAAATTGTTATACAACAAAGAGCATATTCAGGCTAAAGCCCTCATTTCTTTCATCAGATATGACAGAAGATGCGCTTTGTTCTTATAAGGAACATGTGTTCTCATTAGGTTAGATTGTGGCTGAGTGGCCAGCACAGAGTTCAGGTCATGATACAGGCTCCAAAAGCACCCACCAATGGTAGAAAAAATTCAGAATTAAACTTATGCACGCTAATCGTTGAAAGAGGACAAGACAAAGACTCAGCCTGAGTGCCTATAATGTACAAACATGGGTGGGATACAGATATGAACAGTAAACTAGACACAGTTCTTGCTAGACACAGTTCCTCAAGGAACTTCATGCTAGTAGGAAAGATAGACAAATGAACAGGAAATTTCAGCACATTGCTCCACGACCAGAGGTAAATAAGTGCAGGGGGCCATGGACGCACACAGGAGAAGCTTCCAAGCCAGTCCTGGGAGAGAGGAGGAGGTCAGGGAAATTTTCCAGAGAAGATGGTGAACCTTCAGGACAAAGAGGACTTGGGACAAACTATTAACACAACCACACAAGTTGTAAAGCAGCTGAAGTTTAGCATGTGTCCATCTCCTCTTCATTCACTATTCTCTCATTGAGTTCCCTCACCCAGGCCTCACCTCTTTAGACCTTCACATGCCCCACAAAACATATCCATCTTGTCCCACTCTTACCTGTCACACTGAAAATATGAACTAAATCCCACTAAGATGTTAATAACAGCTATTGTTTCAGTGTGTGTTTTCTACATCATATTCTAAGATGCTAATAGATTTTCAGTGGAATTAAGGTTTGGTGCTCAAATAAGTTTCTGAAATGCTGGGTTATGTTGGTATAACTAAAAAGACTCCCTAGAGCCTTTAATATGCCAAAATGCCTGTGAATCTCCAATGGAAGAGTATACTAGTTTTGTATTGCTACTGGAACTAACTCCCACAAACTCAGTGACTCTAAAGAGTACAAATTTAAGGTACCTAGGTGGTACAAAGGAGCTCTGGTGGCATAGTGCCTAAGGCTAAGACTACTAACCAGAAGGCTGGCGGTTCAAACCCACCAGCCACTCCTCAGAAAGAAGATTGGACAATCTACTCCCACAGATAGTGCCTCGAAAACCCAAGGGGGAGTCGCTATAAGTCGAATTGACTCAATGGCAGTGAGTTTGGTTTGGTTTGGGTTTGGGTGGTACAAAATGCTTGCACTCAGCTGGTAACCAAAAAAGATGGTGGTTCAAACCCACCCAGTGGCATGACAAAGAAACAGTGGGTTTGGTTTGGGGTGATTAGATTGGGCCCACTTGTATAACCCATCCTTTCCATCTCAAGGTCCTGAACTTGAATCACATACACAAAGTTCTTCTTGTCATGTAAAGTGACATATTCACAGCTTCTGTGGATTAAGACATGGGCATTTTGTGGGAGCCATTATTCTACCTAAGACCAAACCAAACCAAATCCATTGCCATCGATTGGATTCTGACTTTTAGCAACCCTATAGGATAAAGTAGGAGCTCTGGTAGCATAGTGTCTAAGGCACTTGACTGCTCACCAGAAGGCTGGCGGTTCAAACCCACCAGCCACTCCCCGGAAGGAAGGTTGGGCAATCCTACTTCCGTAGTGATATTGCCTCGGAAACCCAAGGAGGGGTCGCTATGAGTCGGGGCCGACTCGACGGCAAACAACAACATAGAATAAAGTGGAACTTCCCCCTAGGGTTTCCATCAAGGTTTCTCTACAGAAGCAAACTGCCACATCTTTCTCCCATGAAACAGCTGGTGGTGGGTTCAAACCACCATCCCTTTGGTTAGCAGTCAAGTGGTTAACCACTGCGCCATCAGGGCTCCTTCTACCTAAAAGAGAGGTGCTAAAACATGTTAGACTTCCAAACTCATTTGACTATAAAGAAACCCTTTCACAAGAACTCTTTCAGAGCAGATTTTGGGATGTGCTCCTCAATGTATCACTCCTCCAAGACTCTTTGTATTTTACAGGAGGTTCCAGAAGAAGAAAACTAATAAAGGAATAAATCTTAATGGTAGAACTTCAGGCACAGTGGCAACTGGTTGCAGTTAGGGGCTGTTTTAGCAAGCCCCTCAATTTCACTCATTTACTTTATATGCAAAGCGTATCTGCATCAGTGGCTTGTTAGATGGATTTCGTTGTCAAAAAGTCTATCATCTCTTGTTCATCATGTGGAGATGTGTGTGTTTTGGATTGTGAAAAGGCTGACTTCCTCAACTTTGCCTTGATGGATTATGTAAAATCCAGCTTTAGCAGGCCAAACACTCCAAAGATGAAAATCTCTCTCTCCAGGGAATCCTTGGACTGACTGCTTGTTTACTGTGCAACCACAGGAGGAGGGAGGGACTATCTGAGGGTGGGAGGAAGGTCAAGGGAGAATGAAGGGGATGTATTCAGGGCCAGATGGAGACCACATCTGGGACAGTAGCATCACCATGCTGGCCTTTATATCCCAGCAACAGATCAGCCAATCAGAGCATCAGCTACATCTTTAATTTACCACTGATGAAGCGTCTTGAAGTGGAGGAACCAATGAGAAGGAGATATAATAAGCCAAACCAATTTATGTTGCCAGGAGGAAAGGATGTGAAGGGTGAAAAAGATGCATTAGCCCAGAGCTGGGGCTGCTGGCTGCTGCCCAATTGCATCTCACACTAGCTGATGCTAACAGGGTACTAGAGACTCTCTTTTTAACCCCTGCAAACTCCTTTCTAGACTATGCTTCTGGTTTTCTGCAGAAATACCCTACTTTTTGTGGGTCTTCTCAAAACATTGGAAACAGCCTGATCCAGAAATAGACAAGAAACACACATTCTGAATGCGGGAGATATTAGTTACCAACTTGCAACTGGCAGAAAAGAATTAAAAGATCAGAATGAACTACAGACTGAGGACAGAAACAGTCATAGAGTAGAACTGTTAAGAAACCAGGTAAAATGTGGAGCTAAATAAGCTATGTAAAGTGTAAAATTAGGCTGTTTTGCCCTGGCATTATTCTGAGCAGTCTTGTGCTCCAGAAAAAAGACTTGGGGAATCTAGAGAGCTCTCAGGTATTCATCATTGTGCTCATTTCACACATAAAGTCATCCAAACTCATAAACGAGTAGCAATGAGAGATATCGGTTGAAGAATAGCAGAGAAAAATCTG